CAAAGTTTTTGACATGCAGTTTACCCGGTTAATTTAATGAATATAGGTAAAATGACATTAATTAAAGCTCCTTAAGTTCTCCATTTTAAAAAATGAATATTATTAACTGCTAGATAGCAATTTGTTCCTATAGTCAGTGTCAGGTTTTAGTCATAGGGAAAGTAAGGAAATAAATTAATATTTTTAAAATTCTATGAGTTTGGATCAATTAGATGAAAGAAGAAGAAAGGAACATAGTTAGAAAATTTTCTTGAATTCGGATGTTTTCCACTATAACAAAAAAAAAAAAAAAAATTAGTGGAGAGACTAATATATAATTAAAACCATTGATTATCTAGTGGATGATTGTAATTTATTCTTTGATTATAAATAATAAATGAGTGCAATATAGGGAGTGTTAGATTTAGTTTGTACAACCGTCCACTAGATAATTAACAGTTGAGATTAAAAGTAATAGTCTTTTCACAACTTCTTTTATAGTGGAAATAATTCAAATCCATTTTCCTTGGTTCACATGTATAAAAGGCCAAATGTTACCATGCATTAATGGTGTGTTCAGTTTTTAATATAATTCTTGAGGTTGATCTAATAAAAGGTAGTAGGGTTACATGTGGGTGAGAAATTAGTTTATAAAAATTACATTTTGATAAAACTTGAGGAATTCAAGTATAATTAAGCTTAAAATAAGGGTTTGTTTTAGATTTTGGTCTCTTAAATCATAGATACTTTAATCCCCCAAAGCTTCATATTCTTATATTAGTCTCCTAAATTATCTTAATGATATTAGCTTTTTTGTTAGATTTTACCATTCAAAATCATAAATCATTATTTGGTTAACACTAACTATGGATGAAGAATTACCTTATTATCCTCTCTCTCTCTCTCTCTCTCTCTCTCTCTCTCTCTCACCTCCTCCATCACCTGCACCTCCTCTACCACCATCCCCCTCCTCTGCTAGCATTCTAACCTCCTCCTCCATCTCCATAATTGCCTGATCTCTCCCACCACCATCTCCTCCACCACCACCATCTTCTTTTCCTCGACCACCTCCCTTGCCGGAATTCTCGCTTATTTTGCCGCAGACGCCATCAACTCCATTAGTAACGTCATCGTGATTGCCTTCTCTATTCACCACACTCTCCTATATTTGTTTAGAATTGTGAAGACATTACAACTAGGCCTATCCATCCGGGTGGTCGGCCCGGCCTGGAAAACCGGGCCCGGGCCTAACCGGGCCGGGCTTCGGGCCTTTTTTGATTTTTTTTGATTTTTTAAACGTTTTTAATTTTTTTAAAAACTCTTTAAAATTTAAAATATACATAAAAAATTACAAAAAATTATAGAAAATAAAAATAAAAATAAAAATAATCATATTATTAATAACTTGAAATGACATAAATTATAAATAAAAAAATTATAAAAATAAAAGATGATAAAATAACTTCTTTATTAATAATTAGTAAATCTTTTACAAGTATAAATTTATTTCGGAATTCGTCGCATCATAATAGATGAGTACATCCTAACTAGGTTGGCACCTACTCACCTATATCACTATCATTTGCAACTGTTTCCAAAATAATTTATTATAAGTTTAAAGCTAAGAAATAAAATTACAATTTGATAAATATTGTTTAATCTTTATATCTATCTGCTAGTCCTAACTTTTTAAATTTATCTTCACTTCCAGCCATCCGATCGATGCTTTACGTTCGCTTCTCGTACCTCCACCAATCTTGTAAGCACATCACCACTTGTACAGTATATGGATCTAAGCATGTCATGTGGTCGTCAATCAAATGTCCTGTTGTGCTTAAGGCAGATTTCGAAGCTACCGTCAAAACCTACACTGTTAGTAAGTCACGAACTATGGTAGAAAGTATAGAATATGAAATTGATCCATATATTCTCCACCATTGCAAAATATCTAAAGTATTTCCTTGATATTTAACTAAAGAAGCAGATAAATATTCATCTATTTTAGAAACCTCCAATGATGATCCAAGTCCAGACTCACCAGTTAGCTCAGCTACCATTGCATGCCTATCAAAACTTATACTTTTACCTCAGATTGAGCTCGAAAGCGCCGAAGCTGCAGACTGTTGTGCAGCTACACCATGTCTAGTTGCGTACTCATCATATAAGGTTTGAAAATAATTTCTAATAGCTAAATGATAATAAGTAGCAGTAATGTTGGATCCATCATCTAACTCTATAACCTGTCCACTATACAATGGCTGTAACAAACTTTTGAAGGCCAATATCCTTCAAACATAGATCAATAAGAACACTCAAACCAAAAATATGAGAAATATGCCTAAAATACTTATTAAATTTGCTCTCCATTTAAAAATTATACTTCCAAAAGTATCATTCATACGATAATTGTTAATTTTTTTTGAATATTTAAAATTTGTAAAACAGCTAAAGTAATAGTTGGATAATAACAACCATATAATAACATAGTAGCATCATAAAAAACTTGTAACATTTTATTTAAATTATATATAATTATCCATTCATCTTCAGTTATTCCATAAGAGCTACCAAAGCTAGAACTAGAAGCAAAATAATTTATAAAAATATTTATAATTTTTTTATATTCTATAGCTACACTTAACATTTCATAGGTGGAATTCCACCTATGATCAACATCTTTTGGAATTAGTCTAGCCTTAATATTTTTTTTACACATTTGTTCCCATCTTTTAAGTCTTTGTTCAGAAGTAGTATGCATATAAGAAACTGTTCTAACCTTTTCTATCATGGGTTTAATTTCAGTAAATGCACTTTATATTCTATAGCTACACTTAACATTTCATAGGTGGAATTCTACCTATGATCAACATCTTTTGGAATTAGTCTAGCCTTAATATTTTTTTTACACATTTGTTTCCATCTTTTAAGTCTTTGTTCAGAAGTAGTATGCATATAAGAAACTGTTCTAACCTTTTCTATCATGGGTTTAATTTCAGTAAATGCACTTTGAAGTAGTATGCATATAAGAAACTGTTCTAACCTTTTCTATCATGGGTTTAATTTCAGTAAATGCACTTTATATTCTATAGCTACACTTAACATTTCATAGGTGGAATTCTACCTATGATCAACATCTTTTGGAATTAGTCTAGCCTTAATATTTTTTTTACACATTTGTTTCCATCTTTTAAGTCTTTGTTCAGAAGTAGTATGCATATAAGAAACTGTTCTAACCTTTTCTATCATGGGTTTAATTTCAGTAAATGCACTTTGAATAATTAAATTTAAAGTATGGCATATACATCTAATATGAAAAAGTTTACCATGACAGGGCAATGGCAGAGTTATTTTGAGAAAATCTACAGCTGCATTGTTATTACTTACATTATCTAGTGAAAGAGAAAATATTCTTTGATCAATTTTTAGTTTCATAAGTTCTTCAACTATTAAATTGGTTACATTAAACCAGTATGTGACTCTTCAATTGCAATAAAAGAAACAACTTTTTTAAATATTTGACAATTTTCATCAATCTAGTGTGCTATGATACATAAATAACCTGTTTGTGCTCTAGATGTCCAAATATCAGAAGTTAAAGAAAATTTATAGTTTAATTTTTTAAAATAAAAAATTATTTTTCTTTGTTTCGTTTGATAATGTTTTAAAATGGCACGTTGACAGGTTTGACGATAATTTTTTTTTTAAAATTGGGATAAAAACAATCTCTAAACAAATCTTCAAATTCATAATCTTCTACTAATTTAAAAGGAAGGTTTTTAAAAATGATAAACCTGATAACGTATTTTCTAGCTCGGGCAGCGTCATAATTCCGAGTACCGAGACTACCAGAAGAGAAGGATTGAGAAATCATAGATTGTCGGATATCACCTTGAGGAGTCTGGCCTCTGTTGTATTTTTCTATATGGCGTTTCAGGTGGTTGGTGCCGTTCTTATGATGAGCTTGGAAAGTCCGGCGGTACAATGCACATTTAGCCTTCTAGGTGAGGATCCTACCGTGTTCATCCTTAGTGACATTGATCTTTTCAAAAAAAATTCCACACATCGGATCTCGGCCTTTTAGGAGATTTTGGTGCAGATTCATCGCCATTGGATTCAGGATTACCACTGGTAGGAGGAGTAGCTGTTGTTGTAGGAGAACTCATTTTAATATCAGTAGGAGATAGATTTTGCTCTTCATAATCAGATCGAAAAGCCATTTGATGAAAGGATTAGAAAGTATAAGAGAGTATAATATTATATAAGAGAGTATTAGAGAGAAGTAGATGAGTTTTGGTATGAGAAGAAGAAGTAAGCCTCCCCTCTATTTATAGAGGCAGCCTCCTAGGCAAATGACCAAAAACTCCTCACCAAATAGCCGTTTTTTTATCGTTTTAAGGGGTAAAACAATCAAAATATAAAAATGACCGTTTTGGTCGGGCCGGGCCGGCTTGGCCAAAACGGTCAGATTTGTGACCGTTAGCTCGGCCCGGCCGGCATAAGCGGTCACAAATAATGAGCGTTGGGCGGGAAAACGGTCACCCTTGTGGACCGTTTCGTCGGGGCCGGGCCGTTTGGCGAAAACGTCACCCCGATTTTTTGTGCCGCAATGGTCACACCGAGGGTGATTGTGGCGGGCGGGCCAGGGGCGCGGATCTGCCGGGTCGCGGGTCGCCCGGCTCACCGCCCGACCCGGTTTCGTTGCCCGATCGGAACTGTTTCGGACCGAGCGCCAGCGAGTGGAGAATGGTATAACTGTCCATTCAAAAATTTAAAAGAAAGCCGAATATCTCTCATCCATCTTAGCACCATTTAACTAGAGGGAATAATATTATCATTTTAAGGTAATTTGGGGGCTAGAGATATCCAAATACCTACGATGCAAGCGAGTAAGATCGTAGAAAGTAGAAACCCTTAAAATATCAAAATGGATCCCCAAACGGATCTTGTATATCCGACCCTAACCCGACCCGTTTCTACCGTCCTCTACGGTCCGCACCTTATCCGTTTCCGCCATCTCCTCTTCTTCCTTTTCCCTCCAAGCAAAATTCATCTCAAAATCCAAAAACCCTAACCCTAATGGCGACCGTAGGACTCAACCTACTCTCGTCCTTCAAGGGCCTTACCCTCTCATTTTCCTCCTCTTCTTACCTCAACGGCGACCTCGGCTCGATCCGAATCGGCCAGCAAGTTTCGGTCTCGTTCCCAATGAAATCTCCATTGACGATCGAATCCGCTCACAAGAAAGGAGCGGGGAGCACGAAGAACGGCCGAGATTCGAGGGGGAAGAGGCTCGGGGTCAAGATCTATGGCGATCAGGCCGCTCAGCCTGGTGCTATTATCGTCAGGCAGCGGGGAACTAAGGTATGATGAATCTTTTATTGACACCCTAGGTGGTGAATTTTGTTGGAAGTGTTAAAAGTTCGAGTTTTTTAAGGCTTGCTGTTGGGTTTGATTTAGAATTTTGAGTTTGGTTGCTTGTGGGATGTTGAATTGAAGCCTCAATTTGGTTTAACGGCGATTTTAGGGTGATAACTAGAGGCCATTGGATCCTCATGATTGACCCAGTTGACAAATAACTATGACAAATTTGCTATCCAATTTACTTATCTAAAGTAGATACCGTTATGCTATAATCAGGTAAGAATTGTCCATTGAACTTCAGATTTAGTGTATACAAGACGTTCATGGTCGACCCATTGGACTGTTAATGTGAATGGCTTCTTACTTGACTGGTTACATATTTCTAAGGATAACGGAGAAGAATTGAATTTGTGATCTCATAATGTTTCACTCAATAAAAAGATTGAGGAAAATGAAAATTGGAGGGCTTAGTATCGAGACTATGTGACATTTGACAATCAAGAGAAATAAGTAACAGAAGTAATTGCATCAGTTGGTCTCATATGTGCTCGATGGTAAGAAGTATAGTATGGATGCCGTTGTGGCTGTTATAAACCCCTTGACTTATGTAGTGAGAAGTAGAAAGCTAATGTTGCTAACTGATGTTTGATTGTCGATAGCGGTGCATCAAATATTGTAAGATAGAACAAGTAGAGGTAAAAGAACTGTTCTCTGGGCTCATGAAGTTGAACCTAATCCTGAATGATACATTAACATTTATAAACATAGCATTCTTTGTTTATCAATTCTTACCTATGTTTAACAGATATATTAGGTTTTTTGGTCGTTACATGGTGGGTATGACTATTAATAGTTTTATGACAGATAAAATATTATATTGTCTTTGTTCTAGAAATAAATAAGTTTCTCTGATAGTGTAGCTTTGTGCAAGAATTCCTTCACTTTAAAGAGCTACAGATTACTTTGCTGAATGCTCCTATTCATGACCGACAAATTCATGTGTTTCTCTGAACTAATGCCAGCGATAGTGGAACTAAGTAGTTATGCACTGGTGTGTCCGAAAGTCAGTAAGAACAAACTGTCTTTCCTGCTTGCTTTCATTAGATGCTCATGCTTCTATGTTGCTACTGTGATTCATCTTTAGTTGACAGTTGTTTTGTTTAGTTTCTTTGGTAGTCATTCTGTGTTCCAGTGTTCTTTTGATCTGTTATTCAGTTTCCTTGCTGTTTTTTTTCCTTCTCTTCTCACTTGGGCCTTTCTGATTTAGTTTCAATCTAGTGCATCCTTCTTCCTGAGTAGGCGGAGTAAAATGCTTTTTTGTTTGGTTATTCCGTCCTGTTTAACTTCTCCCCTCTTTCCTGTTTCTAATGAAATGTTTTCTCACTCTTACCATAACAAAGAATTCAATTGGATCATGTCATCCTCACAAATCATTGGAGTAGTAAAGCTTTCGGAAACATTCTGGATGGAGGGATTATTTTGAACAAAGCTTTCTTGTTCCTTTTTCCGAGCTAAATCAGCCTCATAGAGAACAGTTAGTTAGGTCATAAGTAATTCTTTTAGTCAAGACAGCATGCACATGCATTTTCATTGTTAGTAATGGGTAAGGATTCTTTTGGTTTGATTTTTGTAATGTTCCTCTTGAGATTGAAGACATCGGTTTGGTGCTTGAGAATTGTTTCTATTTAAAATATTCTTAAAAGCCAAAATTGAGAGATGACACGAAGGTAGTTATGAAATTTCTGTAACCAAAAAGAATTCTGCTTGAAGGTACTTCCTTTCAGTGATATTTCTTGATTATAGAAGAGACACCCAAAGAAATTGCAAACAAAGTGACCTGTGATAGGGAGGTCAAAAGTTCAAGAAATACCATAACCAACATTGTAAGAACAACTTTCTTCCCTATATGCAAGTAGATTGGAGGGACTCATCTAAAATTTCCGCAGGAGTTGTTGCCTTATCATGCTTATATTTTATAATTGGACCCTCTCCACCATTAGACACCACTTGTCATTAACACATGTCTCTGTAGTGTGGCAATTCATTATTGTAGACAGAAAATATGCAACCAAGAGATCTTCAATTTCTTGTTTACTTTTGCTTCATTATAGTTCTGTTTCTGTATATCTTAGAAACGCCTTTGGTTACATTTTAAAACCAGTTACTGTTTATACTTTTTTTTAAAAAAAAGTCAACAATTTGAAAATTCAGTTCCATCCTGGAAACAATGTTGGGCTGGGCAAAGACCACACTATCTTCTCACTGATTGATGGTCTCGTGAAGTTTGAAAAGTATGGGCCAGACAGGAAAAAGGTGAGTAACCTAATGATCAATTTTTGTTGAATCCTAATTATAAAATCGCTGAATTAATGATGACAAATATCTCCATTCTTAACAGATTAGCGTCTATCCGCGCGTAGAACAGCCAGAGAACCCGAACAGTTTCAAATCCAGGAGAAGGGAATACTTCCAGCTTCAGCGTGAGCGCAAGAAGGCAAGGCAGGAAGGTGCTCTCCGTCCCCAGCTAGTGTTTGCCTCTGCCGGGGACGTTTCAGAGGCCAATCCTGCTTGTTGATAGACTATCATTGTAAATTTCGTTTTAAGGTACTGCTGCCTTCTTTGTACTGTATGTTGTTTCTACACCAATGAAAAAAATGCATTATCATTCTGAGCAGGCTCCTCAATTTTCTATTGTTGGTCCTTGCTTACTTGTTTTTATCAGTCAAGTTCACATGTTATATGTCTAAGGTAAAATAGAAGTAAACAGAGTATAACAAATGAATCAACAGGGTAAGATTATGTGTTTTTTTAATAGGTCAGTTGTAACATAACATGAAAACACCACATTTCGTTTAGGGAAAAGATCTTTGAAAGTCTTTGATCATGCACTGCATCCATAAAAAATATGAGAACTTTTACTGTTGTAGCTTTTCCTACTATTTGTGTTCATCAATTGCCTATATGAATCTATCAGATGCTTTTTTAGGACATTAGGTTGCTCACTCATTATAGGCATTCTTTTGTTCTCATTTACTGTAAGCTTACCAGCAGACTGAGCCATAATACTTTTGAAGCACCCAGCTGATGCTAACTCTTTTACTGGCATGTGACACTAACATGTCATGAACTTTGAAAGCAACTGCTGTACAGCTGTGTTAATCATATCATGCATTTAAAAGGCGAAAAAATTCGCTACAGGAAAGAAAATTTTGATTCAAGTAGTTGAAACTTCTGAAAACTGAACTCTAAACTAGGTCTTCATGCCACATAAAGCACTAATTTGTAGTATATGGAGAATGATTTAACTGAAATAATGACAATAATGGCTGTGTAATCAAGCTTCTACTTGGAATATGGCGAAGTAGAGAGTGGAGATTATAGTCACAGTGGTGATGCTATCAAAGTGGACCTTATTCATGATTCCTGCAGAATGGTTGCTGCTATTACTGCTGCCACTGCTCGAAGATCCTGAAGGTCCAGCCGGTATTGTAGTAGCTAAAAAATACATTGAGAATATGTGGACAATAATGTATTAGCTAGTAGAAGCCTTTGAGTTGTGAATTTCTACGAAGGATCATAAATATTTGGCTTAACCTTTTGTAGCATTGGTGGAGATAGCGTAGTGTGGTGAACTTGGCAGTTTATTCAGAAGCTCTGTCATTGAATAAAGTTAGCACCGATCGGAAAAAAAAACAGAAAGTAATGAGTTAGCAGTGGAATAAAGAACGAGTCTAGTGGGTATTTCACTAACTGATTAACATTTTGGTTTCTATTTTATATAAGATGAGCTATTACCTTCAGTAAAGATTGTATTTTTGGGGCCACCTTATAGCGTTTCAAGATGCAGAAGAGTCAGCCCATGCCTATTACAGGTTTAGAAGTTCGTATTCAACCTCTAAGATCTACAATGACATGAAACCTCTAAGACTAGTTGTATAAAAGTTCGATATTTTATTTATGTAATAAAACGATCCATTTATTAACCTGGCACCCTATTTTAGATGTGTGTGTGGCATGCGCATGTACCCCTCATATTGCTCATGCTCTTCCAAGAAAAGTAAATGAGTGGCCACGGTAATGGATGGCTTGACTTTTGCAATTAAATTTGGTAAATCAGCAATTAATTTTGATTTTACAAGTTTTGCAAGTGTTATTAACAAAACATCATATCCCATTGTCCATGAGCAAAGCATTCATAGAACAAATATTTTTGGCTATAATATAGGTCGTGATCCATGAGGTAAATGTCCTTAAGTTCATTATTACTTGTTTCATGAATAATATGTTTTCTTCATTTCTAATTTAAAGAACATTTTGGTCATGTCCTAAAGTTTCAAACCCGCCTATATATACCTCCTTGAGCTTAAATTAGAAGAAGGACTTGCAAACTCTGAATTGTATGGGGAAAAAACATTCTCAGATGTATGGAAATAAATGACACTTGTAAAGAACCAAGGGTTATAAATCTTCAAACATATGCTGGAGTTGAAATTGTTATGCTAGGAGTTTGAATCTTTCTGCCACTTGTTTACTATTAGGTAAGGCCTCAGTGGCAAAATGGCAGAAGGATTCAATCTCCTGGCATAACAATTTCAATTCCAGCATATGTTTGAAGATTTATAACTCAACCCTTGGATTAGTGCTATGGGTGAGGATTTGGAGATTAGTGCACTGATCAACATTCATTTCTCTCCTCGGTCCACAAATTATCCAGAGGACACGGACATTGTATAGTTTTCCAACTGTATGGTGATCAGGTTCTGCTGGATAGCTGGTGTATCAATGTTCGTCTATCTTTAAATCAGTGCTAAAAGGAAGGTTTGAAGACCGTTGAACAGATCTGAAAGTTTCTTTTTCCTTTGTGCACCAACTAATCCATAGTTAGAGGAGTAAATATCCAGTGCACCCGGTTCATAATGTTGATGCTGCATCAAAGAGATCAATATGTGGACTGCTAACGATACCATTTTGGTAGAGGGACAGGGGTGCACTTAATACTTTCTCGTAGATAGGAACCATTGGATAGTTTCCCGAGCAAGTAACAGAATAGCTTTGAATTAGGGAAAGGGAAAGCTGTTTGGGATGTGTTAAGTAAGGAGTTAATAGGAGTAGGCGGAGAAGTTTTTGGGCATTGGTTGAGAAGGGAGGTTGCAGGTTACACTTGGAATGATGCATATATGTGCAGTTTGCACTTTTGAACCCTTACGCAACTGAATTTGTAACCTAGTTAATGTTTGTACTGGTCGAGGTCTGGGAGTTTGTCATGTGTATTGGGTGTGCAAGACCTAAATTTTGGGATCCTAATTTGAAGTATTTTTCATTTTGTTAAAAATTGTTAAAATTCCCACTTTATATACACATCAACCTTTATGTGTTGGCTATGGTTTTATTGAATAACTAATACCTCTCTGAGGCTAGATATCCTTAAATATTCAACTCTTTTTTTACTTCTGATTTATTAGGGAAAAATGTTTTAAGCATATACATGTGACAGTAGTTGGTTCCAATCTCATCATGGCCTTTGGCTTGAACAGATCAGCATCAGCTTGTTTAGATCTATTTGCTTCAGCCTGACTTTACCGATAATCATGGTGTATCTTATTAGAAGGAGAATTGAAAACATGGGTAGGGTTTTTGGTCCTTGCATTGAATTTGCGAATGCATCATTAGTATATGAGAGGGATCAAAATGATGCGATAACATATTTCATCCTTAAAATTTTGGAGACTTGTCTGAAAGTCATGATGTCAGCATTCTCTATTTGTGCGGAGCAGCATTTATTCACTTGTAGGGATAGCCAAGCCCATCGAATGATACGATCCATGAATGGGGATATCAAATACAATAAACTATGAAAATTATCTTGCAGTAGTAAAAGATTGACTGAAACAAAGTATTGATTTATGGGCGTGAAATTTCCTTCAAAACATCCTAGTGTTATTCTGTAAGTTTGTACTCATCAAGTTTCAGCTGGTAGATCCTTGTGTATTCCGAAAACGAAAACTTTAAAATCTGAAAAGTTTTTGCACTTCCAAAATGTGCAAAGTCTTAGCTCTCAAGAGCCAAAAGAATTATACATATCAAATACAAAACAAACAAATACAAGAAAAAATGTCGCTCCTGTAGAGATCTATGCTGTTGTTTTTCACTGGCTATATATGTGATTTGGCTTGCCATTCTGCTGTGGCTCGAACTACCTCCTTTTTATCCTCTTCAAGGCGAAGTAAATGCGTGCTTCTGAGATCTCCTTTGCTTGAACTCTTGCTTTCAAGTTCTTCCCTTGTTTCTATGGTTGTGAGAGATTCAAGGAGATTAGATTGATTACACTCTCGCCGATACTCTAGAGTCATGCTTGTGAGATGGTAATGCTCGAGTATATTCAGAGGCACACTCTGTAAAAAAGTGAAAAAAAAAACGTTTTAATACATACATATGGTAATTTTTATAAGCTGACTGATCAGAGCATTTATACGGATGGCGGTAATATGTCAGTTTATATTTGTGTAATGTTTTATGTGCTCTTTCTTTGTACTTGATTCATAGGGACGAATCTTTGTACGTTTCATTATGATCTTATTAATGAAATGCCAGGAAAAATGTATTATGCATCTTTCACTAGTGTTAGAAGATGATAGTCAAAGGATGTAATATTTTGGTGAAATAGAGTTAAGAAATTAATCCTTAGCTCAGCATTCTTATCTTTCTTAGCCTAGAGTTTAAATATGTCCCTTACTTAAAAATTTAGATTCCTAAATTTTCTATTACCACACTGTATCTAATATTCTTTAAGTTGCTTTTTTGCTTGGAAATCTTATGCATTCTGAAATATATATGTCGAATATAAATAACTTACCTCAAGAATCCAGCCTATATATTTCACATTGTTTACATGCTGGTTCACGTCCATATCGTTCCATCTTGGCTAAAAAAGCATAAAAATTACATGATCAACAATACTACACTCACATACAGGTAAACATACATTATGTCACAAATTAGAAAAAATAAAAATTGTGACACTTACCGCTAAACCTGATCTTATGTGCTTTGCAGTCGCTTCATCGAGCTTATCGATCTTATAATCATCTCCATTTTGTGAGAGGATTTTTCTATCCAAGAAGAAGGGTTTCACTTCTTCTCTAACTTGTTCAGGGATCTTAGACAACCTCCTTGTTTTTCTATTCATAATCACCCAAGTGCTGTTGACATTGAAATTAAGCCATGATTGATTAGCTCTAAGATGGAAAAATTTAATGAAAACTTTTTGTTTATTATAATTTTTTTTTTAATTTTGATTTGGATAATACCTTGTAGCTCTTGTTATAATTTTCTGAGTGGTGTGATCTCGGATTATCCAGTCTCTCCTCATTCCATTCTTTCCTGATGCAGCAACCCATGTGTCAATTTCAACCACATCCCCCCTGCAACAATGATTTTAGATGTAAAAAAGAGGGTGAAGATTTTGAAGAGACGTGCATTAGCAATGGATACGATGAGAGATGATGATACAGGGAAGAATAATAACGATACCAGCGGCTGTATTTGTTGACTTGAATGTTGATGCGAGTGACGACCCATATGAGCTTTCTCAGGCTCATCTCATGCGTCGCGCCAAAACCATCGCTCGCAAGGCCTGAGCTCATTACATGGTTCAGAGCTGTCTCCTGTTTGTTATTATGATTGCATGTATAAGAGCTTTGAGTTAGTACTCTCAACATTTCTTTACATAGTGATATGTGATATATTTTAGGGTTCTTTTCTTAATCCTGAAACTAACTTTTTAGTCTATTTTCTTTAGTAACTGGGACAGGATGCCTTGGAAATTTATTGATTAGAAAAATAGATCTAGAACACACATTCGGGGGGGGGTGTTTGTTTCAAATCCTATAATTTTAGGATATGGATTTATCATGGGATTTGAAATCCATAGATAATTTGTTATGGGTTGGGATTTCTAAAACTTTGTTTGTTTCAACAATATATTGGGATCTGGAATACTATAATTTGTAATATTTTTGTTTGTTTTAAATTTTTTGGAATTTGAAATCCTTAATTTGTCTAACACTTTTGAAATTCATTCTACATCCCACCCAAAAAAGAGTATTTCACAAATCCTTAAATATAATAATTTTTTATTATTTGGGGATTTGATATTCTAATTTTTTTTGAAACAAACAAGTTTTATGGAATTTTAAAACCCAGTTTTATGGAATTTTAAAACCCAAAAAACCTACTTTTTGATCCTAGAATTTAAAATCCCACCCAAATGCTAAATTTTTTTTGAAACAAACACCCTCGAAATGAAAGAGAGAGAATAAGAAAAAGTGCGGAATGAGGAGACAATGAGCAAGGGCAAGAAGCACACACACAAAAAAAAAAAACTAATATTACTTTCTAAATTAATGTGTTACTGCCATTTATTTTTAAATTCACCCACCTCCAAATTTTACTCTTAGACACAAAACATCTGAAACTGATTGCTCTTAGATCCAAATGTCTATAATTCAAAAATAAAAGTGCAAAAGAGGGCGTAACTAACTTTTCTCTACGAAACAACTATGACATTTAAAATGTGCAATGTTTTTTTTTTTCCGGATTATTAGTCAAAAACATGCCACTAATTAGACCTTACTTGTAGGAGATTCAACAATGTCTCCATGGTTGCAGTCTTGTCTGGCCCAATCTCATAAGACCTAATCACAAAAGTCTGCCTATACACTAACCTCTTCTCCACAAACCTCCCAAGCTTAAAACTCTTCAATGATTCATCCCCCTCTTCAACATCATTCTCTACACACAGTTTTTTCTCCACACCATTGATCACCTTCTTCCCATTGATCTCATTAACACTCACATGGCCTCCTCCACCTACATTTCTCACACTCAAACCCTTCATCTCTCCTCCAGTCCTCCTCCATACCCCTAGAGAGACCGTCGTCGCCTTCGATACGCTAGTTGGCTTGAAGAAGCACAGACCAAGGCTGGAAATGCTCCTCATCGCCGTCGACATCGTTGTCATAGTCCATGCACATAAGATAGACGGACAGATAGATAGACAGACGGACAGACAACCATGGAGTCTAAGAAATAATGTTTGGATGGGGGATTTAGAGGAGATGGGGGAGAAAGAGAGGAGTAGAGGTCATCCTCTATAATGCAATGGTAGAGAGGAATAGAGGGGATTCATGGATTTTGATAGTCCACGCACAAATATAGAAAGATTGAGTGGTCTAATATGATACCAAGATAATAGGAGAGAGGGTGAGAAAATACCAAGAGGTTTGCTACTCTTGTTGTTGACCTATCTTATCTACCCTTTTGACGACAGTCTATTTGTTGGGAGTTCTAATTCTAGGATGCATAAAATATTGTGAAGAAACAGAAAGATGCCATTAATTTTTGGTAGATAATATATACCATATAATATCGTTTAAGTATGAAGCATATATACTCTTTTTGGTTGCTTGTTAAGGAACTTCACTGTAGGAAATCAGTGAGATAGGTGAGAAAAAAAAAAGTTAGGTCCTTAGGCATTCTCCTACCAAGGAGATTATAAAAAAAAAAAAGAAGAAGGAAGGATACAATTCTCAAACTATTTTCAGGTAGGCTAGATCTCAAATTGCATCTTGGTGTAAGGATCATTTTATAATATGAGCTTTGTTACTCTCACTTTAATTAGATTCCTCAAGACAGATAAACAATTAAAAGGAAATTGATCCTATTACAGAGAAAACCCTTGGATGATTTTGCTGAAGACTTCGGGTCACAAAGATCCATGAACGAGATTGGACGACACTGATTGACCCAAAATTAATTCTTATTGAGTCATGAAAGTACTTTTTTAAAACCACTATTTATCTCTATAATTGTTTTCCAATGTGAGGCTAATCTTATCTCAATGTTTTCCTACCAAACTCGTACGTATATTGAACTGAATAGATGAGAGACACTCCTAGTAAATCTCTATATTGACCAAAACCAGTTGAGTCCAACATAAGCCGCTAACAAAGGAAGTGTCTCCATTTGGCACTACACAGATAAACCTAGTCACACCACTTAAGAGAACTCTAACATGTACTGGACCATGTTTTATTTGATCTAATGTAACATCACGTCACTCTATCTTAAGCACTGACTCATGCTAATAAAGTTAAGAAACAAACAAAATATCTAAAGACCCATCAAACCATGAACTTTTCACTAAGGCTCCGTTTGGCGAGGGTTAAAAAGAAGGATTAATGTATTTAGTCCATTCGATAATCTGAAGGACTAAATTATTAACCCGTTAAATAAGTTTTATTTTAGTCATTGTGATCAGTTTTAGTGTTTGGGAATAACAATGATTTTGACTATTTTCTTTATAATTAGAAGGGTTAACTTTTAATCATTCTAAATAAGAGTATTAGTAAACCCCTCATTTTGAGGGGTTAACTCATTTTAATCCCTCTAGAGGGGTTAGCTTAACCCTTCTATATTTTTTATGTTTGGCAAATTATGGAGGGTTAAATCACTTTAACCCTTGCATAGATTTTTTGTGTTTGGCGGATTAAGAAGGGGTTAAGTCTCCTTAACCCCTCACTTAACCCTCCGCCAAACGGTATTTAAGTTGTTAGGTTCCAAAGGCCTTAATAACATAGATGACTAGGCTAAGGTACTTGATCTCAAATTGGCTCCAAAAAACTTATATAAGTGTCTAGGCATATTTAATCACACTAGTATGCAACAAGTGCGTTGCACGTGATGCATGTTATAATTATTCATGCAGAGATGATTGTTTTATGTTCTAGATTTAATTATAAAAGAATTTATATACAACTAACATTAAAAAAGAAAAAAATTCATAGGAAAAAATGAATATAACAATTAATAATATAGAAGATAGAAATAATTATTTCTGATTTATATGCATAATAATACAAGATAATATTTTGGTTCAAAGTATTTCAAGTACAAAGATTTGATATATATGATTGAGCATTAAGGCGGAAAGTGTGTATTTAAGCAAAAATTTAAAAGAGATGTAAGAAACTTATTTTCTTTTAAAATTTTCTTCATATGATGGAAGATAGGATCAATCAATTTTCTTTCACAACTGTTCTCATTGTCACAAGAACATTTTCATTTGGTATATGTATGAAATTCTCATCTATTATAGGCTCTTCTTCACACTACTTGAAGCTAGAATTCTCCAAAAAAGATTTCAATGCAAGCATGTTCATATAAACATTAAAAAAAATTCATTTTCCCAAGGATATGATTTCATGAGACTTTTACATTGATTACTTTTTATTTTTTAGCATAGGTAGTTATAGACATGACTTGGCAGAAATATCCTCGAATTAACTATCGTTCCATTGAAAAGTCTTTTATCATCCAAAAAATCTCTTAATGTTCTTTTAATGGTTTGAATTGTAAATTTTTTTATCATTCATGCTTTATCTTATAACATTCGTATGAACCTTGAGATTCCATCTCGTTAATAGGTAATTATAATAAACTTTCTCGGATGGGATAGTTACTTGATATTTCTCAGAAAAGTTTAGCCAAATATATTTGAATTTATATAACCATATAATATTGGGATTTTTCTCATATCAATCTCTTGAATTTATCATATTTGGAAATTAGTCCCACTAATCACTGAAATTGCTATTAGATCCTCAATTCTTAGGGTATGAGATGGTGACCCATCAAATACTATTATAAAAGTGAGTTGCCATGTTAAAACATTTCTACCCAAAATACCCTCCAGTACATCCATTCATACATACATGCTCAATTTTTTATAACCTCCCCAATGCTTGTACTGAAGAAATGACGAGCACAGCGATGAAGACCGCATGAAAAGACGAAGGAACATGTTTGGGTGCTGTGCGGTCGACCGCGTGTAGCACGACAGTCGACCGTTAACGTGCACGAGGATGAGTTCTGTTCAGTATCAGGTCGCAGTCGACCGTGCTTGGTGCGACGGTCGACCACCAAAAGTCCAGAGACTCAGGAAAGTTTCTGCCTTTTTCGCGGCCGACCGCCCATGGCGCGACGGTCAACCGCGAGTCGGGTCTAAGCTGGGTTTTAGTTTTTAACCCGTTTTATTTATGAGTTGATATATAAGTCTAATCCTAATTAATTAGGGTTAAGAAAGGACGTTTTGAGCAGTCTTTGTGAGGGAATTATTGCATCCAAGTGTGGAAGATTTGTGAGAGATCTAGAGGCTTTATTTTAGGGTTTATTTGGTAAAATTTGTAACTCTATTTGTATTCTATTGATTTCTAATAGTAAGAACTCCCCCCTTCTTGCCCCGTGGACGTAGGCAACTTGTCGAACCACATAAAATTCGTTTGTCTTACTGTGGTATTGTGTTTGGCTTATTTGGTTGTAATTTATCTCGTTCTTGTTTGTGTGGTTACGAGCTCCGCTGCGCACAATAAGTGGTATCAGAGCTTCGGATTTAGCTTGGGGCTTGTTTGAAGGATTCAGTGAAGGATTCCTATCTGAAGAGTTAGATCGACAACATGAGAGAAGCAATCACATCAAGTCCATCTCTTATGAAGGCGATACAGAGTCTGAGCATCAATAACATGAAGACTGATGTTTCAAAGTTCGACGACAAGATCAATTTTGGTTTGTGGAGGTGCCAAGTGATGGATGCATTGGATGCACAGAATTTAGAGAAGACTCTTGAGTTATAAGAGAAACCCACTGATATGAAGGACAAGGTTTGGAAGAAGATGAATAGTAGGACTTGTGGAGTTATTCGGTCATGCTTGACGCCGGATCTTATTTATGACGTGATGAATGAGATGTCGACGAAGAGAATGTGGGAAACACTTAATGAGAAGTATCTTACGAAGAGCATTGAGAACCAGCTTTACTTGAAGAAGAGGTTTTACCAGTTCAAGATGAAGAGGGGAGTTTCTATCAGGGAGCATGTCAATAATTTCACGAAGCTACTTTCAGATATGGCCAATGTGGATATCATGGTTGAGGATGAAGATAAGGCGATGCTACGTTTGTGTTTATTACCTGAGGATGATTATGGTATGTTCGTTCTCACTATGATCAATGGAAAAATAACAGTTAGCTACAAGGAGGTGACCTCGGTGTTGGTGAATTATGAGCTGAGAAAGAGTGATGGTGAACCCTCTAAGAAGGCATCGGGAGATGCATTAGTAGTTCGAGGCCGTACTTCAAACCGCCGCCAAGACAACCGCTCAAAATCGAAGAATAGAGGTGCTTATAAGAGTGGTGGTAGAAATCAATATTGATATTATAAAGAAGAAGGACATTGGAAGATTGACTGCCCAAAGTGGAAGGAAAAAGCTGGGAAGAACAAGGGGAAAGCTATACAAGCTTCAGAGGTGAATATTGCAAAAGGTGTTGACAAACATTTAGATTCAGATTCTTCGGTTTATTCGTGCCCTGCACTACCGTCGGTTTGCTATGCTGACTCTACGGAGTGGAAGTTGGATTCGGGAGCCACATATCATATTTGTCTTAGGAGGGATTGGTTCTCCAGCTTTGAGGAGCTGGAAAGAGGGGATATCGTGCTTATGGGTAATGACCATGTATGTCCTATTGAAAGTATTAGTTTAGTCCGGATCAGGATGCATGATGGTATGGTGAGGAAGTTGAAAGAAGTGAGGTTCATGCCGTAGTTAACGAAGAACATCATTTCTCTTGGTACTTTGGAGGCAGCTGGTTATCGGGTGACTTTAGAGGAAGCTACAGTGAAGGTCACAAAGGGTTCTATGGTGGTGATACGAGGAGTCAGGGAAAACTTTCTATACTACTTGAAGGGCAAGACAGTTACAGAGGGTCTGGCAGCTTCTATCACTACAGAGGACACTATCATCCTATGTCACATGAGATTAGGACACACAGGTGATAAGTCCCTGCAGTTATTGGTGAAACAGGAGCTATTGAAAGGTGCTAAGACCTGCAAGATGGAGCTGTGTAAGCATTGTGTACTTGGAAAGAAGACTAGAGTGGAGTTTGACACCGCTATTTACAACACCCAAAGTATATTGGATTACATTCACACAGGTGTTTGTGGCCCTTCCAAGCACACATCACTTAGTGAGGCCAACTATTTTTTCACTTTCATTGATGACTATTCCAGGAGGAATTGGGTATACCCTATGAAGTATAAACATGAGGTCCTAGATATTTTTATGGAGTGGAAGAAGAAAGTGGAGCTGTAAACAG